GTGTGTGTGTGTGTGTGTGTGTGTGTGTGTAAAAGAGAGAGAGAGAGTAGGGGTGGTGAAGAAAAAGTTTTGAATTGGTTCCTTTGTACTATTTTAATTTCTGAATTGCTAGGATAAATAACAATAGAAAGTACAAAACTGTGTATTTGGGTTTATTTAGCTAAATCCTAGAAAGGTAAATAGTTATGAACACAGATTCCCAAGCAACCATGTACAGAAGAGAAATTCATCTCAAGAAGAAAGCTTAGAGATGTTAGCACTAGAGTTGTGTGTGAAATGAACTTAGGTTTAGGTACAAGTTTCCCACTTATTAGGTATAGAAAATTAAAGTTGAAACAGTTAAAACAAGTTGAAAGGGCATTTCTCTCCTGGTTCAGTATGTGTTTGTAAGTCTCCTACTGTATTTTACACCTCACATGGGAAATAGGGACAGAAGCATGTTTATGTATAAAATGATGGCATTAGAATAAAGCCTTTGAGAACTCAAAAATACATTTTCAGTGATTCCAATCCTGCATCCTTTGGCCTCTGGAAATTTGTTATAAAGCAAAGGCTCTCAGCCTGTGGGTCATGATGTTTTATGGGTCTACTGACGCTTTCACAGGAGTTACGTAAGACCACTGGAAAAGATATTTGCATTATAATTCCTAAGAGTAGCAAAATTAGAGTCATAAAGTAGCAACAAAACTAATGCTGCGATCGGGGTCACCACAACATGCAGAACTGTATTAAAGAGTCACAGCAGTAGGAAGACTGAAAACCACTGCTATAAAGGGATTCAAAGTTGATGTGCAGACTTCTCCAGTAAGGAGAAGCAGTCTGTCCTCAAGGAAGGCGGGGAACTGCTGTCCAATGGTGCCAGACTGCAGAATCCCATGCTGAGAATGAATATTTGATATTGCTGCTGCTCAAGAGGTAGTCTGCAATGGAGCCATTTCTACCTTACCCCAAGAGAACAGAATTCAGAGAATGACATGATAGCAGCACTTAGATAACTACAGTAAGAAATTAAGCAGGACAAAAGAATTTTGAAACTTTAGTTCAGGTTTAAGCAAACCATAAGAGTCTTTCTTGCTATTAGGGTCATTAAATGTTTAAGATCTCATTTAATGGTTACCTATATGAGAAATTTCTCCCTTCTTGTTGTATTCATAATGACATCCATTTTTAAAGGGAAACTTGTGACTGATAAATGACACAGTTAAATCTAACCATTACAAGGACAAAGTACAAAAGCAACATGAGGAAGAAGGCTGAACATAGGACAGAAAATGCATAATAGTCAAAGGCTTAGAGTGAGCTGCTCAAGTGTGGGCACACCTCTGAGCTGCTAGCCGCCTTTGGAGGAAGTGAAGGGCATTCAAACCTCTGTGTCGCAGAGTGTAACATACTCATCCTCAGCAGGACTAGTTGCTGTTAGTTTTTCAGTCGGCTCTTTCTATAAGGGATATCCCTCAACTCTGGGGTAGAGCCAACAAAAAATTAGAAGGCTATCACTATCATTTAAAAAAATAAAAAGATTAGGACTGATACTGTTTGCAGTCACTGCTGGTCTTGTGAATTTTGTTTGGAGTGTGCTTTAGTTCTGTTTATTTTTGTTTAGTTCTGTTTATATCTGTTTAACTCTGTTTTGTTTCACCTCCTTCTTTTTCATTAACTTCTTCTGAGTATTTCATCTCTTTCCCTTCCATCTCATTTCATTCTATCCATCTCATTTAATGTCACCGTGAAATGTTTTATCTTTAGTCCCTTTCTTAGCTGTAAGTTATTCTTAACCTGATTTTTCTTAGAGGCAGGGTTCATGCATGCCCTTTTTGTCTTTGAAAGCTTGCCTTACAGTTCAGGCTGCTGTGGAGCTCACAATATGTATCCCAGATGATATTATACTCATGACGACTCAACACTTAATGCTATTTTCTATTTTTATTTTTGGTTTTAGAGACAGGGTTTCTCTGTGTAGCCCTGGCTGTCTTGGAACGTACTCTGTAGACTAGGCTGGCCTCGAACTCATAGATCTGCCTGCCTCTGCCTCCCTGGTGCTGGGATTAAAGGCATGCGCCACCATGTGAGTGTGTAACACTTAATGCTATTATATTGGGAATTTGATTTCAAAACATGAATTTTGAGAGGATGCATTTAGTCCATAGCATGAATGAAGAATTCTCAAGTAGTTGTGTTCAGAAATGAGATAACAAAGCTACCGAATCCTCATGATTTCCTTCAAAATAGTAAGAGAAATGCAAATTTGGATGTTTAAAAGACATTATTTTTGTTTTGTGCTGCTGCTTTAAGTCGTGTGGCATATGACCACTGCACTCTGAGCTTCATTAAGATCTTTCCAATTACATAGAGCCTCTTGTTTAACCCTATGATCAGCAATCTTGCAGAGTACATTTATGTTAAAAGATATCTGTGCATGCCCAGAACCCCAGCCCTATCATACTGGATGTTCATTAAAAAAAAAAAAAAGTAATGTATTTTTACAAATGATAGACCTAAGACATCTATCTCCATTGGCTTCATGCTTCTAACAGCAAAAGGCAGCATGGCTTTGAGTCCCATCACACTTGGTAATGAATGTTAAATACAAACGTGGATTTCGTTGCATTTCTTTCTTTTGACATTTATCAGCTTGAGCTAATCCTAGTACAAACATACCCAGATGCTCACAATACAATGGTGAGAAGGTGCTTTTTTTAATATCTATTCATCAGCGGGCAGCTCAACTTACACACAATGGCAATGCCTTCTTTAACTGTATCCTACAGTTCTTCTGCCTTAAGAATCTTCGGCTATCTGTTCCTTTCCTACTCCAGACATAACCTTCCGTCCCTACTTCAGGGCAGATTTGTCTCTTGGCCTAATAAAAGGCTCCAGAAGATTTAGATAGTCTCAAATCCAAGGTCAGACTTTACAGCACTCATAATTCTTACTCAGTAGAAAATGTATGTTATCAGGTAAGTTTATTGTTGCTCAGAAAACAATCTCTTTCTTTCACTTTACACAATTTAGTACTTTCTGCAGAATCAGACTCAATAATAAATCTAACTCCTACAACTGATCTTGGAACATGAGGATCATTTTAGTGCGAAAGAAAGAAAGAAAGAAAGAAAGAAAGAAAGAAAGAAAGAAAGAA